ACGGTTTTTCAATCTCAATAATTGGAAAGGTGGAACCAATGACAAGAGTTCAGAGAGAGTCCAAATCCCCATTTAGATCCAACCACGTCATTTTAACCCAACGTTCCTCATACATTGTAATTATATCGCCATAACAGTAGTCCAGAACAATAATATGCTTACGGTAGGATCTTAGAGCCCAGTGGATTTTGCAGTCGAATGGCAGGACAACAGCAGGGGCGGTACTGCTGAAGTAGTCATTCGAATGAGTATGGAAGCGTCGTCTACTAGTTCGGCGAACGAATAAGGTGATCAATCAATTGCTGAAAATACCTCATAGAGTTCTTGTACGTAGTGAGAGCACACGGTAAAACTAATCTATCCTCGTTATCGCCATCTTTTATAAGCACCACTTTATTGACGAGAATCTAGAAAGCTGAAATTGAAAATTATCGATTTTCTGATCAATTTCAAGTATTTCATCACCAGGCCAACGATTGTCCCAATCAGTGGCTCATATGTGCTTTACTCTTTGAATGGCAATCCTTTTTTGTGGGGTATGTGTGGCGCTCGCGTGGCAAACACGATCGCAGTGGTGATCGTCTCGTTATCAGCGAAACCTCATGAATATGGACCTGTTCCGCATACCACGTACGTTCATGATGCCTTAACTATTCTCTTCTGCGATCAAAATGTCCATGATAGTAGCTGCTCGGTTCAATAACTTTACATGAAAATATTGGTCTTATCATCGCCTTATTTATTGGTAGATGCATTTATTGTGCTTACTTTACGGTTTTATTAGGTTGTCGGATAAATTCATAAGGTTTTTCAACGTTAATGACTGGGCTCTGATGGTGTAGTGGCAACCAGAGCACTGTGACACCTGCATAGCTCGGGGATCGAATCCCTGGTCGATATGCGTCCAAACCGAGAAAACCTTCCTCAGGGGTGGGCTTATTGGTACCAGACTTGTCTGGGAGGAAGAAAGCACTAACTTGTACATCGGCTTCCCGTTCCAATTCATGGCATTGGTCCATTACCCATTCATATGACAGTAGATTGTGAATGGAAGTCGATGCGGTGCGCATCCCAAAGCGGGATTCATCAACATGGAAAGGACTGATACCTCAACCTTCTAATGTGTGAGTGCTCCCACGAAGCGATGATCACTAAGACTTCGTAGCAGTCAAGTTCCATTGGCTGACCTCTATTCTTACGGGAACGATGAAAAATTAGATGAAAATGGGCTTAGATAGAATCTATTGGGACAGATCTCGTTCCTATCAAATTTTGTTTTCACCTTCTCTCGTCAATATCGTACAAGCATCAAATTTCCATAGAAGTGACTTTGAGCACTGTCATTAGGTTTGGGCTGTGGTGGGGCATCAGGTGCCGTTGATTGCCATCCCCTTGGAAGTGGGTCAACCACGGTGACCGACAGCCGTTGATAGCATCAGGACCCTTCATCTTCGGATCTTCCATCCCAATGTTGTAGTGAACCCCAAGTGGTCGAGGGTAGAACAAGATTGGGAAACAATTACCATTCGGAGGGTGCTCGAGGAATACTGTTTTCCTTTGCTTTTCTTTACTTCCGATATTCTCTTGAGACTATATTTTGCTAGTCCAACACTAAGCCAACAAGAGCCAAAGTAGTCCTTAAGTTAGCTGTTTGAAATCATATGAGTGCCTCTTGGATACGTACTCATGAGGTCCGTGGCCGCCTATGAAGCAATTCGTTCTTTGCTTTCTCCATACCTGCGCTCTTTTTCCCTGTGTCAGGGTTCCGGGCTGAATTCACACCATCCATCCTCAGCTGACCAAACAGCTGAAATGTATACTGGAGTGCACAGTTCTTCCCTTGTTCCATTTTGATTCAACTCTTTACCACTATCGTTAACCTTCAGGGTTCAAACCTTCTCAATAAGCGTTCCGATCGCATACTGAAATAATTTTTCTGTGAACTTCACCCTTTTACTTTTACACCAGCACAATCGAAATTTTCTTTGTAAAAACAAGATTCTAAGGGCGTCTGTTCAAACATGGACTATCCATTCCAATA